GCATAGTTAAGTGGAGATTATGCCAATGGTCTATGACAGAACAAAGCCTGGTTTGGATGACTAAGCAGCTTATCCAAGAAGATAATTCCCTGGCAGAGTCAGAGAAACGCACTAGTATGTTTCTCTAAAGCCCTGACATGGAACAGGCTACACAGACAGCAGACCTAAGATGGCAGGACCTATAGCTGCATAACAAATCCCAGCTCATACAGCCTGTCTCACCCTATTGCAGGAGAAGTTTGTCCCTTCCCTATCCCCACATCTGTGGAACGTGTGATCCCAGACTAAAACCTGCTTAACCAACTGAGTCAAACCCACTAAGAAGAAGCAGAACAGAGAATGGAGCAAGAGAACTGAGGAAGCAACGGTGATAAAACAAGAAAGCAGGATTCACTGTCTGTGAGATATTAGAACATGGTGAGAAGTCCTGGCAGACATACAGACATCAGCAACATAACCACCTTCTCCAAACTAAAAAGTGTCCTGATGGAAGGGTTCTTGGTTTTGGTGTTTCAGGGCTTGGGGTTGTATTTCTTTTTTGGTTTTTAATAACTCAGCAATTAATTCTTCTTGTTATTCCAGACTCTTCCCAACTCCACTGCCATCCTGTGCCTTTCCACTCTTAGGACCTGGTCTTAAGATTTCCTAATGCCTTCCCATCCCCCAAATTATGTTCTTCCCTTTAGCTGGTACAGAAAAATTATTCACTCCCAGGCTCCGCAACCCAAAGGATGCAGTACAGCCTTTTCTCAGGAGAAGGAGGGAAGCACAGAGCTTGTCAGTGTTCCTTTTGTAAGTGTGCTGGGGAAATGACTTCCAAAACACAAAACACTCCGTTCTGAAACAAGGATTACTTGAGAGCTTGCCAATAAGGGCACATGGAGACTTAAGCAGTGGCAGGAATACTTTGACCAAGGAGCTCCAACAGTAGCGATGACACAAGGGTGGAGAACCCATTGCTCAGTGGGTCAGCTCCAGTATTTTGCCTTGGTTCCAACTCTCTGTCCTTGAACATGAAGGTCATTGGTAGAGCAGGTAACTCTTGAGGGAGGCTGGCAGTGGCAGTGTAGGGATCTCATTCAGTCTTTCCTTGCCCAAAGCAAGCCTCACAGCTCGTCGACACAAGTCCATCAAAGGCAGTGGTTCAGCTGGGGGAAAAAAAAAAAAAGAGACCCAAGACATTAACATCCCTACCCACAGGTTACACATTCATTTTGCTAATTCTAAAAATCCCCCAGAAAAGATTGAACAAGAAAAGTGAACGCCTGGCATGTTTGCAGAACCTAAGCCATTCAGCATTCACATGTCAGCCACTTCAGCTCATCAAATACACAGGCAGAGTGTGATGCTTCTGTAGAGGTTATTTAAGCCACAAGTGTCTGTGAACGACAACAAAAACACTATAATCCCCTAGTGGAAGTTCCCCCTCTGCAGTACCATTCATTCAAGTCAAAACACATCTTCTAGCCTACACCTCTTATTGCAGTATCTGAAAAATAGTGTAAGAAATTCACAGCAGCAAACAGTCTGATAGCATCATGTGGTACGGGTACCCAGAAAATATCATGATTTGTCTCACAGTAGGCTAACAGCTGTGAATCCCTTCATTTGTGCTACGTACTTCCCATGAAAAACGAAGCCATCTGTCAAAGCTTCATGTCATTACTTGTATTGTGACATTTTCCATTAAAGGATTCCCTCCTGTGTCATAAACCTGGGAAAGACACAAGCCTTTGGCTATCTTTTTTTGCACCCTGTACTTATAAACACTGAACAAGATAATACTAGTTTTTCAGGAATGGTGTATGGGGCCCTTTGATACTGAAAAGTCATTCACAGCATACAGGGGACTAAGGTCAAAGCCAGATTGAACACATCACAGATGCATAGAAGGAAGATACAGATTAGTTTCTCACAGCTTCTGTTGCTAAGTCTTGTGTCAAAGCTCACCTTTACACACCACTGCTGCTCTAAGCCTAAGGGGTTTCTCCTCCCCCAAGAGAGGCCTAACAACGACATCCCAAAATAAGCAGATAAGTGGACATCATTCCAATAGCCTGAGGGCTCAGCATGCACCATTAGCTTCCTTTACAACCATCTTGGGCTGAACACAGACACCTAAAAACATCCACAGGAATGGAAGAGTTTGGCTGAAAAGACAGTTTTCAGGAACCTTGATATATGCCAACAGCTCTAGCTTCCACTAGTGCAAACCAAATTAATCTGACTGTTCATGCAGCTGTTTTAAACAGCTGAGAGCCATGGAAAGCTTAGTTTTTCTGAGCATGGTCATGTTATTGCATTTAACAGAATTCATTCCACCAAAAAGGCAGATAAAAGTCCCTTCCTTCCCTTCAAAGGTAACAGCTAACACCGAAAAGCTCAAACAGAAGAGTGTTGTCAGCAGCCTCTGATCAGGCCACTCCTGAATCTACTTTGGAAAAAGTAAACAGCCATACTGCTCCATGTAGAAAACACTTCCAATGAAAAGTGGAGAAAGCTAATTTTTATCTCATTTCAGACAAAAAGTCTGTGATAAGGAGAGTTTTTAAGCTGAGGAGAGTCTTGGTAACAAAGTCAGGAAATGCATGCTTGAATTGGTCTGTCTCCTCCTCAAGTTAGCAGCCAGAGCTGAATTAATGCCCAATTTCCCCTCCCTCTTCTTCCCTGCTATGGATCATAAGCTATTACCTGCTCCAGGGGAAGCTGCAGTGGAATGTTTTTTCTAGCAGTTCTCCAAAGTTCTCCCAGTGCTTCAAGCATCAATTATTCCTTAGGAATCGTACCTCTATCTGCACACCTCTTTTGCACTGCTTGCTGGGTGGAGAGCAAACAGATCTGTCAGGGCAGTGCTGTTGCTTCCCTAGCCCCACCATTTGTCATACATGTTCAGTGCCACAAGTGAAGACATGGCTGCACTCAGCCCAAGGTACTGCTGGTCCTGTCTGCTCACGATCTCCTTCAGGATCCATGCTGCCTCTTCTGCACGGACAGGTCTGAGCTCTGGCTGTGATACTGCCTCTGGCACTTCCCAGTGTAGCTTATTCTTAAACCACTGGGGTATGAATATGCTGTATTCAAAGACTGTCCCAATGCCTCCTGCTCCTTATGGAGATAGCTGGGACAGAAGCATTGTCTAGCCAGCATCCCAGAGGACAAGGGGCCCTGACCTTCAGAGCCTATAGACATTACCGTAACAAATACATTCCAGTTTAACAGCCTTAAAAGGAGAGGATCTTCCCGCAGAGATTAAGAACAAGAACTTTGTCCTCATCTAGTTTGCACTGATAACCCAGTCTGACAGGAGACCTCCAGACCAAAAGAGAAAGCACACATCTGACCTCCTTCCATTCACAAGCACTACAATCACTGGACAGTGTTGCTATTGAATGCTCAGAAGTGGATAGAGCCAGACACCTTCTTTCTATCTGTGCCAGAATAGTGTCCCGTCATTCCTGGCCTTATGCCCACAATTCACTCCTATGCTGAAAGCACATTACAACCAAATCCAATACTGGAGGTGGCCATTTCCTTGCTAAGTGCAGTTCTGTGCCAACAACTCCAGACTTGCTGGCTTTGAGCGGAGCTGCAGATTTTCGCTTTGACCCTTCAGAAAAACCTGGTTACTGGAGCCGCTGCCATCCTGTAAGCTGTTGGGGCAGAATGAGCTACGTTTCTTTCTTTTGGTGAGAAAGTGCTCTGCCAAGAGCTCTCTTTGGTCTTGCTGAGTTGAAGTGTATTTCTCAAAGCACTTGTGGATTTTGCTCCTATCCCTTTGCAAGGCTTTCCTGGTTATTCTGACAGCTCAGTTTTCCTGGTGCCCAACATCAGCTTTGTTGTACCTCATGTCACCACTGCCAGGGGTTTGCCATGGCTGGCCCAGCATTAGAACATGTTCCGAGCACAAACAGAAGAGCCCAGTATGCTACAGCCTTTGGGCAGACACTGTTCTGGAATGCAGGGGAAACACTACTCTTTTCATATCAATGCTGCCAAATTTATTTCACTAACAACATAAATCCAGATTTTAATCCACTTCCTTCACCTCTCTCCTCCACCCTACCCAGAGGACTGAGTCACAGTCTGGCCCCAGGGGAACTTCTGACTATACGAGATAACAGACTTTAGCACATTTGGACAGCCAAATTTATTACTAAGCTTAGCTAGAGATTGATGTCCCTATTAGTAAAAGGCCTGGCATGCAAGTTGGGCTGGCCACAATATTGATCTCCATGCTAGAAATGAGCACACCCTGCCCCAAAAGAAGCAGAGAAACTAGCTACTTTTTTGAAAGATGAGACATTCCCGTTTCCTTAGATAGAGACAGATCTTCCCACTCTTGCCTGCAGGGGATTTTAAAAGTCCCTTCATTAGCCATTTAAGGAAGGTGGTTGTCTCTCAGAGACCGTCTCCTGGAAAGAGACATCAGGATTACATTACCAATAAAGCAACTGTCAGAAGGACATACTTTGGTATGATATAGAAAGGTGTGTCACCTCTAGACAGACAACTGGCATCACCTCCTCCCACCATACTACCTCCCCAAACCCTGCTTGCTCCCTGCAGTGCCTTGGTAGCAGCACACGTGCCAGACAAACTTTTTGAATTCGCCATTAAGAATTCAGAGCTGTACCCAGCGAGCCTACTGCTGACATGAAATCCTCACCTCTAGAAAAATGAAAGCCCTCCACAGGATGGACTAGTAAGCCTACACCTAAGTAGCACACAGATGTGCTGCTAGAACAGATACAGGGAGTTATACTCACGGTCAAGTCCATTCAAGTAGCGCATCCGTATTTCACAGTGTCCCCACACGGCGCTTACCACTGGATATAGCTTTTTCCCTTTGAGTCCCCGAAATGCAACACCCATGTATTGCCCATCTACAATGAAGCTCAGTGTCCCATCATCCATGTCCAGAACCACCAGGAAGGAGTCCGGCACAATGAAAGTTTCATCTGGTTCTAAGAAGGCTGGATAGGTTTTACTTGGCTGGTTCTTGCCATCATGATACAGTCTGTTGCGCCCAAGGTCCCATCCCCAAGATTCATGGTTATTTCCTACGAGCGTTGTGTACCCTACTGAATGCAGAGGGGCATCTGCTGTTGCCACCCCGACCACAGCATGCGTGCCTCGCTGCCTCATTGCCCACGTGATCTGCCACACATGCAGTCCTCGTGTATATCCCACTTTGCCTCTGATGGCATCTGTACTCTGAGCCACCGGATGCCGGTGAAATATGAGTTTGTCATCCTCTTTCACAAATACATTCAGTGAGCGATCATCATTGTTCCACGAATGCAATAACTGGACCTCATAGGATACCGGAGGCATGTCCAGTAACAAGTCCAGACGTGTGGGTTTGCTGTAGTCAAGTCCTTGGAGTTCCTGTTTCAATGGCCTGTATACAGGGTCCCTCATATCCACAGTCTTTATCCCACCTGTGACCTTCTGACCCATTGTGTGTTCCGATTTTGCCTTTTTATAGGCTCCCAAGGCAAGCTCATCGATTTACCCAGCCGCTCCTGCTGTCATTCAGCGCTACAGAAAAGGTTGCTAGGAGACCTTTCAAGATGTGCACCGGTCAGTATTGCCTAATGGATGGAAAGAAAAACAAGAGACAAGTTAAACATTAGCATATACAGCCTTGTATGCAGCATTTACAGAGCACAGGTTTTAATCTGTTTATTCTGACAATTTGTCCTTCCTTTCCACCAGCAAGGGTGGGTAACACATGCTACTTATGCGGTACGCCCGGCCTAGCAGAGGTAGCACACAGATCAAATAGACAGGTACCAAATTTCTAATGCCCCCTTCAGAAAGGCACTTGAATTTCTGCTTCTTTGACTAAGAACAGTATAGATTCAGCTACCAGAGCTCATCTTCTCTTGACAGTGAATGCACTGCTCCTTATTACTGCATCACTAAACCTTAGGAAAACATATCCGTATTCAGGCTGCCTCCAGCAAACCTTGCTTTTACATCATGATCACCTAGATTTTCCAGCCTGGACAACATAAGAAAAAAGTTTATTCAAGGCAGAAGACTCAGAATCCAGTACACAGTAATACTTGAGACTTAAATTTTTCCTGATTGTCTTCAGTTGGTAGGAGGACTGAAAACAGTGTCTTATATAAGCACTATTTTGCCTGGTCTCCCAGCCCTAGTTTATACCACAAAGTCAGGCTGAGCAAGACATCCCCATGAAGGCCCAGGCTGCCCACTGACATTCACTGCTCCAGCTCCTTCCAACCACCATGGAGAATTTCTTCTCCTGCCAAAGCCATCTCTATAGCTATCCACAGCTGAGCCAAAACACAAAAGGCATTTAATACTCAAAAAAAGGTCCCAAAAGCATCAGACAATTTCTCAGAGATAGCCCTGAGTTTACAATTGCATTGTCTTCGAACCCTGTATTAACATGCTACAGCTGACCAGTACTAAGGGACTGGTTTAATGGATAACTGCTCTGCAAAGCTTTAGTCTGAGCTGTCCCTAGCAGGGAAGGGTGGCATTACTATTGAATAAACTTCTCCCTCTGCTGCTCTACAGAGGTTGGAACTAGCCTTGAGAATGCAAAACATTCCTAAGTATAGCTTCCACTATAAGGAAAGCAGCCTGCATTTGAGGAGGGATATATTTGTGGTTAGCTCAAGAAGAGGATCACAGTTAGACCGGCAAGTAGAACAGGTGTTACAAACAGGCCAAATACCTGCCTGTTGGTATCCAGACAAATAGTTTTCTTTCCTCAGCACAAACACTTCCAAGAAGAAATAAAGCATTGAATACAAACCATCTTCCCATAGCAGTGATCAAACAAGGTAGGCATCAGGCAATAAAAGTGAAAGCTCTGCATCTGGAGAGTTACAAACCTTCCACAGATCAGCTGGCAAAGCAGCTAGCAGCCATTGATATAGGTTTGAGGAGGTAATTCTCTTCAACCCCACTAAACCTTTGCTGAGTACCTTGGAGGCCTGACTAAGTCCAAAACAGCAGACAAAACCTGTTGGGTCCAGCCTTGGGGGGCACCCATTCCATCAGCAATTGGTACTATTGGCCCCACTGAATTACTATAGTCAAGAGAGTGGATAAACCTGCTGTATGGTTTGTCTCAAGTAAGCAGCTTCAGTTGGGGCAGCTTCTCTTCTCCAAGAGGAAAAAAATTCCCAGCTTCAGACACAGAGTCCAGGGGAGGAGCAAGATTCTTCTCACGGTTTAGCAGTTTTCCTTCCAAATTTCAGAGAAACCTCTAAAAAAAGTTTAAGCCAGCTTGGCTAGAGATACTAGCTCACTTCGCATACCTCTCCTCCAGCACTGCATCCACTGAAGTGTCTCTGCTCTCACTCAGCTACACAAACAACCCTCTGTAACACAGCTGCCAAACTGGGGGCAGCTATTAGGAGAATTAGAAGTGGGAGGGGAGCAAACTAGCTTTCTAAGAAAAAAAAGTGTTATTTTAACATTTCCTGAAGTGAGGCAATCATGCAGGGCTCCTGCCAGCTACAGTCACAACACTTACTCACTCATAACCAAGGACCTCATCTGGCATAAAAAAATAGAACATGAATCAGATCTGGTTTAAAAATAAGGTTACTGGACATAAGCAGCAAGGCTTCAGCTAGAAGGTGACAGGGAAGGCCCATGTATGCTCTGGGTTAGGCATCAATTCACCAACTTCCCTACAGGTTTTTACTACTAGTCCAGGGCACGGCACTGGAACAGCAGGCTCAAATGTTGTAGTTTAAGTAAGAGACAAGACAACCTGTCCTTTCCTTCTCTCCTTTTTTTTCCAAGTATGGAGAAGAAAATGCCTGAGGTTCTTTAAAAGTCCCATCCCAATGCACATTACTAGGCAGCAGTATAGCTATTTCAATTTATTCAGGGACCTCAGATTAACAAATCATCTTCTGTCCGTCAGTACTGTACAACAACTGCCATTTAACTAAGGTCCAATCCCATTATCAGCTGTTAAGATAACAGAGACATCCTGCAAGTTAAATAAGCACTATCTACAACATCAAAACAAATCCTGAATTATGTAAGCCAGATGGTCAACAGCTGAAAATAGTAAGTAACAGCAAAACCGATTGAGGGATGGTACAGTCACTGGATGCCAGTGCATCACCCTCCCCCACCACATTGTTTAGTTGCTCTGCCCCACAGTTGAAGTGTTTCCATGACACAGGCACTCCCAGCCTTTAAGGGCACAGGCTCCCTTGCTCTGTAAGCCTAAGGAACAGCAATCTCTCAAACCAAGGGATCCCGAGAACAAGCCAATACAGACAGGAGCTGAGCTGCTGGTGTACAAGTACCCTGTTAAAACTATCTTCCAGAGACTGTCACAACACCGCAATGAAACCTGCAAACCCACCTAGTAAGTTGCTTGATCTTTTTCAACTCAGCCCATGTATTGCAGGCAGTTACTCAAGGGTTTAATGCAGTTCCTCCCAATCATCCCACTGCCCCATCTTTAAGCCTTCATGCCTGCGTGTACTCAAGTTCTCAGTTTTATACCTCAAAGCTGACACCAAGTCTGTTACGAAGAGACTTGTGAAGTCACTCTAACAGGTGTCTTCCCTGGGAAAAGCACATTGATGCTGACCAGAAGCAATAATTTTTACAAAGTCTCAGTGCAAGTCATTTGCTCAGGCTGGGATAAAGACCATCAGGCTGCAGAGACAAAACTGCATCATGTGGCACTCTGCATAAAGTACCAGATTAACCACCTTGCATTCCCAAGGCCTATGGCATATGGACAAAGGATGTCAACAAGGCACTGGCTAGAGCACACTTGGAAGCCTACAGGCAAATTCAGCTGTTGGAACTTTGATTAGTATAAAGGAACAAAACATTGGCAGAAAGAGGAGAGGCAGAGATTTCCCGAGAGCTGTACAGAACATGTGAGAACACTGCATAGGAAGCAAAAACCAAAACAAACCAGATTGCCAGACTGCAGGAGTATTGATGCCGACTGCTTTGAAGCACAAAACGCTCAAGAGAAGTAAGAAAATACAATTCTGTGCTCTTCATTAGCAGAATAAAGTCTCATTCATTGTGACTTTTTGCCAACATAACTTCATCATATTTCTCTCAAGACTGCTGCACCAGATAGGGAATCACCACAGTGAAAGACAACTTCTGAAGCACATGGGACAAGACACTGTCTCACTGCCTGCTCCAAAAAGAAAGCAGCCTTTCCTGAACACAAGCACCACTCATCACTTGCATTAGTTATGGCTGTTTTCCCAGCCAGACTATTAGCACTAGATAAAGGACAATGGCCAGAATAAAGAGAAAAGGGGGATGACAGAAAAGAGATTGGAACAAAGGGGTCGATTAGAGTGAAAGCAGGTCAGATACTGAGCACCATATGCCAAGATTTAAGTGCAACATGGCTCCTTATCAGGGCAAGGCAATGATTCCTGCTCAGAGCTGGCTCCACTGTTCCTGGCGCTAGCCTGGTCTAGAAGAACTGCAGGGTGGCACCTTGCCCTTCAGTCTGGAAGCACAATTATGCCCTCATTTTTTAAAAGGAAAAGCCTCTTCATGCACAAGACAATACAGGCACTTTCCCTCAGCAGCACAGATACAGAAAAGCTTGCCTTCTTAAATTCATGGATTAATGTCCTGGGCAGCTTGATAGGAGACACAGCCAGCCATAAATGAAGAGATATGCTAGGGAATTAGCTACTTCAAAACCTTTGAACTGTTACAGGTTTAAGTAAAAATGTACGCACTGAAAATGCTTTTATCTATCATATCAACAGCTCTGGCTTGCTGCAATTCTGCTCTGCTTTATGAACATGAGCTCATCCCCACGATGCTCTGTTCTGCTCCCATGCTATTTTCAGTTTTATTGTTAACCTTCTAGACTTGAAAGCTTTGGAATGAAGTTATAAGAGTGTCTCAAAAAAATGTTCACTGCTATTTTCAGTGAGAATTGGATCTCCCCTCAGTTTAGCTGTTCAGAGCATGTAGGCAGTTTGCCATACTAGAAAGATATGCCAGGTTTCAAAACAACTAGTTGCTGCAGATAGATCAAGGCAGGAGACAGCAAAGACGTTTTTAATGGAAGGTGTCAAATTCCCCGCTGCTGAACGGGGAGAGCACAGCGCTGCAAAAAAAAAAGCACGTATATGGCAGAGCAGAGTTGGTGTCTAACTTTTTCTGCTTAGGCATTGACATGAACCAGGCAAAATAACTGCCTTCTGCAGATCTCTCCAGCGGAGGCAGTCATCTTGATTTAGTTCACCAAAAACGCTGTGTACAGAGCAGAGCCATACTCTGTGCCCATGGCCACGTTTACCCACTTCAGCTGGCAGTGAACCTCACAAAATGCAGCCAAGAACACAGCTAGGCAGATGTCACACAGGTAGAAGTCTCTACTACCCACAGCAGAGTATTTACAGTCCCCAAGTATGAATCAAACAACTAAATCTTTATGTCAATTATTTCCCTAGTGTCCCCCAAAACCTTGAAGAACACATTGAAACATGAGGCTAAACAGTGTCCCACAGCTAGATTTAAAAAAGCCATCCAGATTCAAAACAAGGGTCCTTATTGCTCCCAGACAATTCGCCTCATTCCTGC